AGATTCATCACACTTTCCCCTCAAATACAAACTTCCTTTCTTCCACTGTTGAAACTATAACCACATGGTGTATCATTCAAAAGAAAAACAAAACTAATTTTAAAATAATGACAACTTTTTTCTTGTTCTAGGACTTCCCTCTTCATATTCTTCGTTTATTTTTCTATTTGTATATTCTCTTTTATATAAGAGTTTGTGAGGACATTGTTTACTAGGGATATTAACTCTTTGTCACAAATGTTGTAAATATTTTCCCCAATGTACAGGTTTGTCTTTTGATTTTTTGTGGCATATATTTTTTTGGATTTTATAATGTTTATTCTATCTGGATATCCGAAATATCCATGTCAGGCACCTGGGTGGCTCAGTTGGTTAGCATCCATCTTCATCTCAGGTCATGATCCCAGGTTCGTAGGATCAAGTCCCAGGTTGGGCTCCCTGCTCTGTGGGGAGTCACCTTCTCCCTCTGCCTCTCTCTCTGTGTCTCTCATGAATAAGTAAAATCTTTGAAAAAAAATAGTAAGAAAATTTTAAATATCCATCTATTTTTAAATCTTTTTATTTTTTAATTTTTAAAAATATTTTATTTGACAAAGAGAGTGAGAGCACAAGCAGGGGCAAGTGCAGAGGGAGAGGGAGAAGAGGTTCTCCTCTGAGCAGGGAGCCCTAGATGGTATTCAATTCCAGAACCCTGGAATCATGGTCAGAGACAAAGGCAGCTGCTTAACTGACTGAGCCACCCAGGCACCTCTATTTTTTGAATTTTTAAAAAGTCATCTCTACATCCAACGTGGGGCTCAAACTCATGACCTCAACAGTAAGAGTCAGATGTTCTACTGACTTAGTCCCTTCTTTTGGATTTTAAAGATGTTTTAATGAAACCTAGGATTTACTTTATGGCTTCCAGATTGTTTTTGTTTATCCCAACACTTTTATCATAAATTATTTTCCATATATACATGAATATACATTGGGCTTTTTCTACTTTTTTGTCAACCATTATAACCTAGCACTATGTATAGTAAGTCAAATTCCCCTCTTAATTTATTTTCATACTCTAGTTGGCTAAACTTTAGACATTTAGTGTTTCATATACTCCATTCTGATTTCTTCTTCTGTTACAGTGATCTTTTTTATTCTGCTCTATACTAGATTTCATTTGTTTCTAAATTTTTTGTGTGTGTCACATTTTATTTAGTGTAGTATATAACAGAGTATGAGTCTCCCCTTATTACAACTAACCTCAGAATACCCTTGGCTGTTTTCATATATAATTTTTCCCTGCCAATTAAAATAAAGGATTGTACTATACGTCCTTGAGCCTATTGAGGACATTTATTCAAACTGGCTGAAATTCATGGACTAGGTTTATGGACAATTGGGTTTTTACAGTATTGCATTTACATTCAGGAGTACAGTTTATTTTCTTTTTTTAAAAGATTTTATTTATTCATAGAGACAGAGAGAGAGAGGGGCAGAGACACAGGCAGAGGGAGAAGCAGGCTCCATACAGGAAGCCTGACATGGGACTCGATCCCGGGTCTCCAGGATCATACCCCAGGCTGCAGGCGGCGCTAAACCACTGCACCACCGGGGCTGCCCGTTTATTTTCTTTATATAGATGATGTGTAATCTTCTTTGGTTTATTTATAGTTGTGTTTTTGCTTTTTGATGTGCATCATTCTTCTTAGATATATTTTACTAGTTATCACTGACACGCGCATGATGGCTAATCTAGATTCTACAAAGTCCCTAGTTGGCAGCTAAGAGATCCATGTACACTGACAATGACCATTTTAGAAAAACAAAAGTGACAATGAAAAAGTTGATTTGAGTTGCAGAGGGGGAAAGGGAAGCATTTCAGGTAAAAGAGAGTTACCAATACTAAAGAAAAACACTAAGAAGGCAGAAATGTAATAAACCTGGTAAAGGTAACCATTTGAAGTCAGTGGTTGTTAAAAGTATTTTCACAAAAGGAATTAAGAGAACCACAATATTATGTGTCTGATGAAAAATTCCCAAATAAATTTAGTCATAATAAAGGAAGTTGCTTATGAAAAAGAAAAACCTTTGAAATGAAATGGAAGTGAGAAGAATTCTACTAATTTGCTCAAGGAGAGATTGTCTTTTGAAGAAAATTCTCTTAAGAAATGGCAGACATTTATGTAATGCTTAGACTTTTCACAACATCAGAAAATGTATGCTGCAGAGAAAAACCTACAATTTATTTTTTTAAGATTTTATTATTCATGACACACACACACACACACACACACACACACAGAGGCAGGGACATAGGCAGAGGGAGGAGAAGCAGACTCCATGCAGAGTCCAACGTGGGGCTCGATCCAAGGACCTTGAGATCATGACCTGAGCCAAATGCAGATGCTTAACTATCCGAGCCACCCAGGTGCCCCCAAAATTAAATGTAAATAATTGTAATTCATGGGTGATCTGTGGCTTAGCATGTGAAATTCACACTAGAGATGGTCATTAAAATTTTTGGTTTGTGCTTCAACGTTATTAACCAATAGGAAGTCCACACAGAGATAAATGAAGCAGGCAGAAATATAAAATTCTATTTGATTATAGGTGATAATTTTCTTACATGAACCAGGACTCCAGCAAAAGATACCCAATGAGAAGCTATGGCAAAAAATCCTGTTAAATTCACATGAGAGAGTGACCTCAACATAGGAGGTGACAATAAAGCACCAATGAGTGCAGGGACAGGCACTAAAGACCTTCATTTCTGACTACAGCAGGGCCACTCACTCTTGGTATGCTCTCACCTGTGCAAATCCAAAGGGCCAGCAGGACAGAGGACAATGTAGTCCAGCCAGGAGAACTCCTGCAACAGGCCTTACATCCTTTAGAGCAGGTCAAGAAGTTCAAATAGAATAACAACAAGGCATTGTTTGATGGGCCGAACACCTTGGCCATTATGCAGAACTCCAGGAAGAGGCAGATACCAGGGACCCTCCACAAAGAGAAAGAAAGCAAGCTTGGTCAGCTCGCTCAACTCCTACCCAGGGCATGCGCTCAGGACCTCTATTCATCACAGATGAAAGCGCACAAGTGTCCTCCTGATCTTACTGCTGCTGTAGTCAGCGACCTGTGTATCCCTGAGGGCAGAGCCAAACTGGGTTCAGAAGGTCCACCTACTGGGATGCTTGAAACCAACTGGAGAGTGAGTACACATCTGAGCATCAGGAGCAACGGTGTAAAGCGAGTCTCCAAGACCACCCTCAGGCGAGATGCCGCTCTAGGACTCAGGACTCAGAAAACCTGTTCTCTTTTCCAGAGTCCTGAGAGTCCTTCTGAGCTGTTTCTTTTTTAAGATTTTATTTATTCATTCATGAGAGAGACAGAGAGAGAGAGAGAGAGAGAGAGAGAGGCAGAGAGAGAGAGACAGAGGGAGAAGCAGGCTCCATGGAGGGATATGGGACTCGATCCCAGGTCTCCATGATCAGGCCCCGGCCTGGGGGTGGCGCTCAACCGCTGAGCCACCCTGGCTGCCCACCCTGAGCTGTTCCATACCGGGTTATGACCTACTACAGTGAAAGCCTGCAGAGTAGAATCAGCAAAGGGAAGAGGTGCCTGGCGGGCTGGGGGCGGAGTCCAGCAGAAACCAGTCATGACAGGTCAGTTGTTTTCTCCCAAAGGAGTCACACAGTCAATGCTTAAATTCTCCCAGGAAGGATGTGTGAACAGAAACCTGCCAGGTGCTACCAGCCAGGGAAGCTCCCCCAGCCCTGGGGGTCCAGGGTTTTTAGGGAGGTGATGCGGGCGTGCAGCATCCATGGGACTGATGTTAGCTCCTCGGGCGACAGCCCTCCAGAGGTCAAGCTAATATAGCATGGCCCAGGGCCTCACACATGCAAAACCAGATGTTCACCATAAGTCACACTGTTTGCATAAACGATCTGGCCAAACTGGAACAGCAGTGCTTAGAATACAAAAACACTCTTACTAGGCAAAATGTGACAGGGGCTTAGTGGTGGTCTCCCCAGAGCCAGACAAGGGCCGGTCCTCCTGAAACAGGATTTTCCTTGGAATGTACGGGGCTTGAGCAATCCAGGCCTCCTAGGTCTACTCCTTACAAGTCATCTGCACTTCTTTAGAAGTCTAGTCGCCAACAGAAAAAAAAAAAAAAAAAAAGGTGTTCAGCTGACTACGAGGGGCGATCCTGGGTGAGGCTGGAGCCAGGCACAGGCACACAACCGGGCACGAAGGTGGCAAAGGGGAAGGCCACACTGTGGGAAGGTACCGCAGTGGCACAGGCACGTTACCCGGTTTGTATGAGAAAAGAGTGTACACTGCCACCACGAACCAGGTGCCTGCTGTGGGCTAAGCCCTGGGCTTGGGGCTGTCAGATGCACCTGACATCGATCACAAAGCCCTTTAGGCAGGTGGTCTTCAGCTGTGAGTCAAGGGGCCAAAAAGAGGTGGCGACAAGCCTTCTCCCCTATGGACTGACATACCCTAAGAGCCCGTACAGAGGATGCACTGGAAGAGCACCCCGGCATGTTTCGAGGTTCCAAAGTGACACAGTCACACTAGGAATGCTGGCATTGCAGGAGTGCCAGACCCGTGTCCTTCACCAGGCCCTACCCGGACCATTAGGCCTTCCCGTTCCGCGTGAGCACTTGTCCCTGTATCGTGAGGACATGGGCAGGGTCTGACCAGGGCTGGAGACCAGGTATTTCTGCAGCTGGGGCTTTCTCCATGGTCCCCGGGGCACTGGCCGACTAACACAACTTTTCGCGCCTCCTGATAGTCATGTCTGAAAAGAAGGTTAGCGGGTCACCGCTCCTCTAGAAATGCAGAAGCAGTATCTCTCGGCCTGGCCATAACTTAATGGAATTCATTCCCAGTGGAGAGCAATAATACCCCCTCGCACGCCTGAGGGAACACAGGCTCTTCTCCCTCCCGGGACGCCAGCACAAAGCTTGCACGGTCACTTCCCAGAACCATGCGCTGTAGATCTGGGCTATGAATCATCTCGATCATCCAGGGAACATGAGTTAACTCACAGAGGGGAAAGGGAAAGAGAGGGGGAAAAGCAGTAGGTTGAAATGGAAGATCACATACACGTACGATGGATGCCACGATGGTTTTTGTCACATGCTTCTCTCCACGGTGCGTGGCACCTGCTGTGGCTCTAGCGCAGGAGGAGCTCGGCACCAACTGAGCTGACACCCGACCACGCACCGCCCGAAGAGTTCTGCGGGGTGACCAGGCACCCTTGTAGGGCCTGGTCCTACAAGGGCGGCACACACTTGGCCTCTTTCGCCCAGATCCTGACAAGTATCAGAAGTCTGTCCCCAAGGGCACTTAACAGGCTTTCTGTGTATGCTACCAACTGTGTATGCTACCAACGACTGCCACTGGCAGAGACCAAGACTCTCTGCTTACGTTAGGCAATGTTGTCCAAAAGCAAAAACCACAGTCTCCCCGGACGCCCGGGATGCCTGACTGGGGCCACGGGATTTATTTCAGGAGAATCCGGCATCGGGGGCATCGGGGTTTCTCGGTCTGCGCGTGGGAGTGGCCCTGCAGCTTGCTCCCAACCCTCCTCGGGGCCACTTCCCGCAACTGGGCCTGACCCCTGCTCTCTGACCCCTGGGCCGGGGAAGCATATGGCGCCCAGGGAGCGGCCCCGCCCCCAAGATGGCCGCGCCCATGTGCCGCTGAGGACCGCAGCAGGCGCCACTACCGTTTCTTATTCTGAGAGCCCGAGGAAGCGGACAGCGCGGCTTTGGGAGACGGAGGTTGCGCAGCAGAGCGGCGCTACAGAGGGCGCTTCGGCCTCGGAGGCGGTGGGACCGGGGCCCCTGACAGCCTCCGCTGGCGCCTCGCCGACGGGAGACGCCACCCCACCCCCACCCCGACCCCCGCGCCGGCCTGATGTGCGCCGAAAATGGTTGCACGAACCGCTGTTGGCGGCGCGAACAAACCGGGTCAGAATCGCTGCCCGCGACGCGCGCCATCTTGGCCACTGGCAGCAGCGCCCCCCTCCTTCCCAAAGCCGATCGTGCGCGTGCGCGGCGCTCCGACCTCGGGCTGCGGGGCGACGGGAGCGGAAGTGCTCCGCCGACCCGAGGGCGGTGCGAGGTCGCGCCAGTTGTTGTTATCCGCCCGGACTGGCGGGTTCTGGTAGCCAAGTACGGGGAGGCGGAGCGGACACGGGCCGGAGGGGAGGGCGGGGTGATGGGTTCGCGTCCTCTGAGGGCTCGGGGCCGAGGGGTGAGTGTGGGCGGCGCGTCGCGGGCGACGCGGAGTGACACAGTCAGTGACTTTGCTGAGGGCCTAGTAAGTGCAAGGCGCCCTTGGGGGTCAGGGTCATCTTCGCGATGGCCAGTGAGCAGGTGTTACCGTTATCTTCGTCGCGAGAAAGCAAGAACAGAAAGGCTCGCAATCCTGTCCAAAGTCACACAGCTAGTAAACCCCGGCGGATCCTTCTAGCCACCACCCCCGCCCCGCCCCAACCCGCCCGCCAGCCCTTACTTAGGCCTTTCTAACTAACGTTCCCTCCCACCCTCCCAAAGGTGATCATGTTTGCTGCTTGCTGCCTGCCTTCCCTGGTAGAATAGAGTTCCACCACAAGGGCGGGGAATTTTGATTCTTTGGTTCCCTGATGTGTCTACGTGTCTGCAACACGCAGAACAGGCACATTGCGGGCACTGACATTTTCACCGTGAATGAAAGGGACAGGGCAGTTTGATTTCAGAAGGGGGGGGGGTGCGGGGGGGCGTGGTCAGGTCCTTGTCTGGTGATAATTGGGGTCCTACTGAGCGTCACTCTTCAGACTCAGACGAGGCCTTGTGCTTCCTTCCATAAAGGAGAACATTTGAGTTTTCCTCAACTTCACGCCATAGGGTGAAGGGGTTGCTAATTGCATCTCCTGTTTGGTCCTTCCTTCCAGGATCAGGTTGCATCGCTGAGACCACTGCTCACCAACTGCAGATTCCAGCTCACCTGCACCTGAGCTTCCTGGTCTACAGAAGAGCCCGTCTGAGGCCTTGGAAGGTGAGTTCCAGTGTCAGAGGCACAGATGGGGTGCTGCAGTTGATGGTCCTAGCTGAGATGCGTTTGTCGTCTCTGAATCCTTTGGTCCTGCATCCTTAGGAGCAAGAGAGCTCTTCTGAGAGGCTTAGGAGGAGGAACTTCAGCCCAGACCCAGAGCCCAGGGCAGAGGATGCAGGCTCTCAGGACAGATCCAGAACCCAGAGTGGGGAGTACAGGCTCACAGGACAGACCCGGACCGTAGGGCAGAGGGTGAAGGCTGAAGGACAGCCGATCCAAGAAAAGCTAGACCTGGAGTGGCCCCTTTCCCTGCTCCCCCTGGGAAAGAGCATGCTCAGCATGTAACGGTGGGCAGTTGAACCCCATCAGAGGAGAGAGGTGATGTGTACAGGTGGATGGAGGGATGCTGCCAGGAGGCAGGTGGCCCGCTACAGTCCTGCACGGGCAGGGGCAGGGTCACGAGGATCACTGCCAGCCTCACAAGAGTTTCTGGTCTCCTGACACTAGACACACATAATGCTCCCCTCTTTTCCATTGACTGTTTCTGGAATGCGTCAGCCCTAGAGTGTGAACATCCCACGCACCTCTAGCAGAAATGTGGGTTTTCCCTCTAGTCTGGCTAAAGCGTACAATAGTTTTGTATCGGTTTCTTTTTTACTTGGCAAAATCTGTAATCAGTCTGGAGGTACGCCGTCTTCTGGTTCCGCTACCTCGTTATGGTGCTGCTGTCATTGGACCTGAGGGCGTGAGTCGTGAAGCTGCACGGAGCCGAACCCTGTTGTCCTGAGGCTGCCTGGGTGTGTGTGTGGGGGGGGTGCTGTGGTGACAGCAGCTACTCTGTGCAGAAGCTCCTTGCGGAGACTCATTTTGAAACTGCAGAGCAGGGAAGAACAGGCCATTGAATGGACCTCCTGGGAAAGGAGGAAGTCAGGAGCCAGGAATGCGGTGGAGGCAGGCCAGCGAAGGGCAGCGTGTGCAGTGCAGGGTGCCAAGGTCGGTGGTTTCCAGCTCCTGTGGAATGACCAGTGCTGGGCTCCTCCCCTCCCTCCCTGCGCCCTGCCTCCCCTCCCTGCCCCTCCTCCAGCCCTGGTTTCTCTCCACCTGCAAACCACAGCCAGCCAGATGTCACTGTCCCCCAGACTCTGCTCGGGGTCTGTCACCTCCGAGGCTCAGTGTAATCATTTCTCATTTGCATCTTATGAGTAATGATGTTCACATTCAAAAACGCAAGTAAAGAAAAGCAGAAAAGTGAAATCCCCCATCCGAGAAAACCAATGTCAGCCATTTTAATAAATGCTCTCGTACGCTGCTGCTCATCAGTATGCACATAACGGTGAACAAATGAGCTTGGGTTGCACTTGCTTTTTCTTAATCTGCTTCTAAATATGTGGAGAAATGAAACAAGATTCGTTTTGGAAAGCCCGTAAACACAAGTCGTGGGCTTATCCATGTCCCAAGGGACCGGGCTGGAGGTCCCAGGCACATTTGCACGTCATTCTCCCCAGGACGCAAAGGTGATTGTTATTAGGCTGGTGGGGATGGTCTCCTGGCTGAGCGCCCTGATCTTGAGCCCCTCATTCTGTCTCCCTAGATCTCCGCCCTTTGTCCAGGGCAGACCGAGATGGCCACGGCCCAGGTGAGTTCCTCTTTACCCCCTCCTTTGTTTCCAGTGGACTTGAGGCAGCTTTGGGGGATCTGCACTGTAACCTTAACAAATCAGTCCTTCCCCTCAGCTGTGGCTGCTTTCTCTTCAGGCTCTGATCCACCTACGGTTTCCCTGATCCTTCCCTCCCCATAGAAACCAAACACAATAAAACAAGAGAAGATAGCAAGAGAGTGAGCATTCTTATCAGACTTCTTCCACTGGGAAACGCACCTCCTCCGTTTTCTTTTACTTCTCGGGGAAGCTCGTTCCAGTCCATAGACTCGTGTGCTCTTCCCGTGTCTCCACTTCCACCTTCCACCTGTTTGCTTTTTCGTTATGTTCAAAATGCCGAAAGGAAAGCCATGCCTGATGTTCTGTGCGTTAAAGAATAGCCCGAACGCCCCTGTTCCTTCTGCCCCCGGTGCCACGTTTCTCCTCAGACTCCCCACTGGCAATAGTTTTGGGATGGTGTGGGGTGGCTGCGTTTCCGTCAGGTTCACTCGCTGAGAACGGGTCCGTTGGCCGTGTCGGGTGGGTGTTTTTGCACAAGGGCCATCCGAGCCCCGCTCCCATCTTCTTTTCCTGCCTGGTTATTTTCTGGATGGTGTTCCTCCTCAGCACAGAAAGATGATTTCCGTTACTCTGCAGTGCTAGGGATGTATCATCCAACTCTTGCTCTGTTTGCGTATTCAGGTTTTGAATGTTCTTTTTCTGTTGTATATGGTGCCTCTTGGATGACTCTTCATGTGTGTGCTCAACAGTGCGGGGGGTTTATGTATCCTCACCTGGAGGTTGGATTTTGGGTCTAAGGTATTCACACTTTAATTGGCTGTCCCAAATCCTACACTGATTACTCCTTTCCCAGAATGTGAAAAAAAGAGACCAGATAGTTCCTGTGTCCGGCTTTTCCAGGATGTTGAAAGTCGAAAATGAGTCCAGTCGGTTCTGTGAAGCCACTTCACCTTAGGTTTGATAAAGATGTCACAGAAAGTAAGTTACATACCCGATGCACTTGACAACACGGATACCAAGATTCTAGAAACATGTTCTGAATAGGGCGTTAATAAGCTGAATTGAGCACTGCGGAATGATTTGTCCATACGGTAAAAAAATTCAGACAAAAGCCTTGTTTGACAAAGGGTACAAACTAATTCTTCTGTCTCCCCCATGCCCCTTCTCCTTCCTCATTCATTCATTCTTGGAGAGATCACGCATGCACATCTCTTTCTTGTAAGAGTGCCCTTTACTTCAGATTTCTTCCTTCACGTGAGACTCAAGCACATTCCGGACTTTTCCGCGACCATTCCATTTCGTTGTGCGTTTGAACAACCCCAGAGTTGGGCACGCTTGGCACGTGGGTCAGGTCAGGCTGTGTGTGGAGGGCTGTTGTGTGCCTTGGAGGATAGCTAACTGTGTCACTGCCCTGGATTGTCTTGATGTCAGTGTCCCCACCCACTCCCCCTTGTGGTGACAATGAAGAGTTTCTTTTTTTTTAATATTTTATTATTTTTTTATTGGAGTTCAATTTGCCAACATATAGCATAACACCCAGTGCTCATCCCATCAAGTGCCCCCCCTCAGTGCCCGTCACCCAGTCACCCCCACCCCCCGCCCACCTCCCTTTCCATGAGAGACTCCTAAGAATGAAGAGTTTCTACAGACCTTGCCAGCTGTTGCCCGGAGGGCTAAATCACCGGCGCGTGGTACCCCATTTCCAAAAATGGCTATGCGATATTCCACTGGCTGGAAATACCAGTATGTCTTAACCCTTCTGCCAGGGATGTACATCAAGGATACCCTGGTCTTTTGATGTCATAAACGGTGCAGCAGTACTTCCCCGTGCACGTTTTCAGTTTGTTCCTCGTGAGCATGTCTGGTCTGCAAGGTAGCTTATTAGACGTGAGGAATCTAGGTCAGCGGCGATGTGCATCTTGAATTTTGACAGCGGATGGCCACTGAGGCAGGTGTTGCCCTGTGCTCACCAGTGTGGTCATGGTCCCTAACACCTGACTTGTCACTTGGGAAGGGTGAGCAGGGGTGGGCTGCTCTGAGAACTTCTCCTGCTGGCAACACATGCCTGTCACTGCCCCTGTGCACACGGTGTGGCCTGGCGTGTGTCGGTCTGCTGTGCTGAGCAAACTGCTGCCACGTGTGGCCTGTTGGGGCCCTGCGGGTGCCACACATCCCCCAGATCGAAGACCAGCCAGTGTGGGTGGGACAGGAGGAGATCCAGAGCGTAAAGGGTTGGAGTATTGTGCGCGCTCTCTCTCTCTCTCTCTCTCTCTCTCTCTCTGGCGGGAATCTGGCCACTCAGAAACTTCTGAGCTTCTGTGTGGTGCTGACAAGACCAAACACAGACCTTTCCTTCTCTACCTCAGTCTGCTGACCGGGTCAGACTCCCACCCTCCTGCTTCCTGTTCCCTTTCGTGACGGAGTAGCCACAATCAGCAGTCTGAGGACTGTGAAGGAAAAACCCAACGCAGCCGTTGCGGTCCTGGAAACAGCCCGGTTCTTCCCACTGTGTCTTTCCTGCCTATCTTTCTCCCGGGTGTCTCCTCCACGCTCACACGGAACACTTTCTCCCCGGAGGTGTCGAAGGTTTGCCCCACCCCCACACAGCTCTCTGCCACAGCAGCTGGGCGTCCTGCCCCGAACTCAGTATTGACACCATCTCTCTGGAGAGAGATCCTAGATCACATCCCACAGGTCGAGGGTTCGGTCCCACCAGACTACCACCCCCCCACATGCCCCATCAGATGCCAGCACCAGGCACAGGTTTTCGAGCAGCACGCTATAGATGAGAGGGACCAGTGACCCCCTCCTTGGATTCGATTACTTGCTAGAGTGGCTCACAGGACTCGGGGGCACAGTTACTTACATTTACTAGTTCATTAAAGGACACGATGAAGGACCCGCATGAATGGCCAGATGAACAGATATATAGGGCAAGCCTGGGAGGGCCCTGAGCTCGAGAGCTTCTGTCCCCATGGACTGGCAAGCATCATCCTCCCGGTATATAGATGTGTTCACCCACCTGGAAGCTCCCCGAATCCTACGCTATTGAGACTTTATGGAGGCTTCAGAACACAAGTACGATCAATTGTTAACTCCACCTCCAGCCCCCCCCCCTCCCAAATCTGGAGAAAGGTGAGTGGGGCTTAAAATCCAGAGCTTCCAATCACAGCTTGGCCTTTCTGGTCACCAGCCCGTCAGCTCAACTAGAGTCCCCTCATTAGAACATGAGATGCTCCTTGTATTCTTCTCACTTGGGGATTTATAAGGGTTTCAGGAGCTCTGCAACAGGGACCTAGAGCAAGGCCTGTATATACTTTGTTACGTCCTAGTCCTGACGGAGGCGCTGTGTTTAGAACCGTTGTCATAGCTCTGTGTCCCCGCGAAGCCTTCTCTGCCAGCCCCAAGCGGAACCGACTTCCTTCTATTCTCTGTTCCCTGTGCTGCATCTGCACCGCCCTCGGAGGACAGCCCCCCTCCGCACCCCCGCCGCTCTCCCTCCCTTTTTTCATAGGTGAGTTTGTAAGTGTTGTGTTCCTCCCTCTACTAGGTGGAAGCTCCTTCAGTTCAGAAGGTGTGTGTTTGTTTTTATCAACCTTTATATCCTCTGGCCGTACCAGCTTGGTCTGTGTTCAGTCAGTGAGCCGAAAGACTGCATTTCCAGAGGAAGATACTTTTGACACCTATTCTGTTTCTTTATAAAGTTTACGATAACTTTGGTTACAGAAACACTCCGTGCACTACATGGTCTCAAATTGCGTAGTGACTGGCAAAGAACAGTTCTGTAGAGAAAGGCAGTGCAGTGTCGTGTTGAAACACGTGGGTGCGGAAGGCAGAGCACACGTGTTCTGATCCCTGTATTGGAGCTGTGTGACCCTGGGCAGGCGACTTTCCGCTCTGTGTAAAGCCAATCTGTCCTCATCTGTCGGGGTCTCCTGGGGTGGGAGCCATATTGAATCTCTTCTACCTGTGGAAGACTTAGGGTGGGACGTACCGTCCGTTCCCCAAGCCCATCCCTCTGGGCTAATGAGGCCTGTGCTGTTGCAGGAATCGTTGACCTTCAGGGATGTGTGTGTGGACTTCACCCTGGAGGAGTGGCAGCAGCTGGACTCGGCTCAGAAGAACCTCTACAGGGATGTCATGCTGGAGAACTACAGCCACCTGGTGTCCGTGGGTGAGGGCGGTCCACAGTATGACCGGAACACAGCCCACTCGTGTCACCCACTCTGGGGCTTGTGAAGCCCAAGGCTCCCCGCTGAGAAGTCACAGTCCCGATTGCAAACGCCTCCCCCCCCCACCCCGCCCCGGGATATGTATGGCTTGTGCTCCTCTGTGAATGTTCTGGGCTGAGGGGCAAAGGGCTCTCCTCATGGGGCAAAGGGCTCTCCTCTGGACCCTCTGCAGTTGGCAAGGCTAGGTCTCGGTTCTGGAATGCCTCTGGCGTTGATAACGACCTCCTGTGTCATTTCCCGTCCTCAGGATACCTAGGTGCCAAACCAGATGTGGTCCTCAGATTGGGACGAGGAGAGGAGGCCGGCATGACAGAGGGAGAGACGCCAACGTGGAAGTATCCAGGTGAGTGGGCGCTGGGCCAGTCAGGCCAGGCCAGGGGACCTAGGAGGTGAGCGAGAGCTGGGTGTCAGGGCCATGCCTGGGAGCTCTTCTCGGCGCTCCTGGACTCTGGGACACGACTTGGGTTCGAGGAAACGAGCCGCCGTCATATCCAGGAGCCGCCTGCACCTGCCACCCTCCCTTGGCCCCCTTGTTCTGACTTGGGGTTCAGACAGTGTGGCCACTGCTGCTGTCAGATGCCATCTCTACCTGCCAGTATCCTGAGCCTTCCCTCTTCCCCGCTCCCCCTCCTTTCTGGAAGCTTTCAGGGTGTTTCTCCTCCCCTGGGCATTGGCTTTTTCCTCAGAAGAGGCATGGCTGTAGGGGTGAGGCTTCCCCTTTATTTGTCATGCTGTGGGCCTCTTACATCTGACGCTCAGTGTTTCTTCAGCCTCAGGGAAGTTATCCCGCCTGGCTTGTCGGGGTTGGTGTGGCTCTAAAGCGTTGCTGGCACCCTCTGGCTCTGCCAGGCCAGGCGGCCGCCACGCTCTTCTCTGCGCCCATGTCGTGCTCGTCAGCGTCTGCCTTCCCGGGACCGTGTCCTCTCTTCTCAGGTCCTCAGTCTCTTCCAGACGTGACTGGACTCTCCACCTGATGTCAGATTCCAGCTCTTACCATGCCTCCCTCCCACTCACCCATTTTTGTCTTCTGTGTCCTCTCTGTATCTACTCAGAACGCAAGGGACCTAGACAGGACGTTACTCCCAGGCAGCCTGCTTCACGGAGCTTGGCCGCCATCCTGGGCACAGCTGCTCTTTGCCTTGGTCGTGGGTTTGGTTGGTTTGGTTGGTCTGGGTCCCTCGAGTGCTCCACATGCTCTTCAGATGCCGGTCTTCCCCCGTTCCTTGCACACTCACAGTGGTGTCTCTGTGGGCCCGTCCGAAGACATCTGTCTAGAGCCCTGGGACTACCGGGTGTGCTCTGTGACCTGCAGCCCCGGCTCTAAGCAGGCTCTTGGGGGCCACCTCAGCTTACACGTGTGAATCCGCTCTGCACGGGGGTTTGGAGTTTAGCTGCAGAGCCCCGGCTCTACTGCACTCTGGCCCGGCCACAACCCCTCGTGTCTCCCGGACGGCTGCCCCAGAGCCCTCCTCTGCTGGGCTGTGCACCCTCTTCCTCAGGGCCTCCCTGGGCTGGCCCGCACCCACCTCCCTGTAGCTTCTCCCAGGGAGGGGGTGGGGGTACGGTGTCCTCTTCGTTGCTCCGTCAACCTCATACCCACTGCTGCCTTGTACAGACTCCTCAGGCTTTCTGCTCTCCCCGTGGCATGCTTTTCCCTGCCTCCAGGGCTTTCCAGGTATTGAAATGTCCGAGTCCCATTCTCAGTTCAGTGGTGCCCTGGGAGGAGGAAGCACAAACTCAGAGGCACAGTCCCCTCCTCGAGTCCAGTTGCCTTATGTGAAAATCTGTGTGATACTGAAAGTAACCATGAGCATGCTCATTGTCAGCGCGGGCAGTACAGGAGACGGGTCGCGTCAGCACATCCCCAGCCACACCTCCAAGGGCTTGTCTGCCTCTTCTCTCAGTTTCTGTTTGTAATTCTGCTGAGGGTCACCTCCTGGGTCCCGGGAATGCCTTCACACATGCATTTCTGGAGATTTCTATGTTATCTCCCCTCTATATGTAAAATGAGGATTTAGCTCAGTTACACCCTGGCCTTCTCCTCAGATCTTCGCAATGTCTGTTAAGTTGTTATTTGTAGTTTTCCTGTTACATTTATAAGGGTAACCAGTATATCTAAGGTGCTTTTTTTTTTTTTTGAAGATTTTATATATTATTTATTTAGAGAGAGCAAGCAAGGGGGGGGGGCAGAGGCATAGGAGGAGAGGGAGAGAGAATCTCAGGCAGACTCTACACTGAGTGTGGAGCCTGACTCGGGCTCTCTATCACGACCTTGAGATCATGACCTCAGCCAAAAGAGGCAGCCCAATAGAGCTGAGCTTCTGTGCCTGCAGTCCATTTGGTAGCTTCTTTTAAACGGAGTTATGTGTCTCTGGCTGATTTTCTGCCTGGAACACAGAGCCCTAGAGAGTACCTGCATCTCATTCTTACCCATCCAGGTGTGAGAACATTCGGTAAGTATTTTTTCCTTTTGGAGAAGGGCAGAAGAATGGGGTTCTGTGTCCATCCACAGCCAGTGGTCAGCAACTCGGGCTTTGGAGCTCAGAGCCTGGATTTGATTTCTGGCTTCTTTGCTCACTAGCTGTCCCTCTGTGCACTTGACTCAGAGTCTCTTTTTTTTTTTTTCCTGTTTGTAGAATGGGGCTCATGCTAGAACTTCCAGGATTGTCAGAGTTTCATGAGTGGATGAATGTAAAGCACCAGGAAGGGTGCCTGGCACCCTGGGAGCTTTCAGTAGATGCTATCACTGTTTTTGTTGTTGACAATAGAATATTTCTTAATACAGTCTTTGTTACCCCAAGGTGTATCACATAGTGACCTGTGGACCCCTCACGATACTCACGCGTAGGCCCACCATGTGGAAATGGTTTCAGAAAGCCTCGGGTGGTACTGGTTCTGTGCATTTTGAGTGACGCTCCAGACAGTTCTGATGCCCATGTCTAGTTGAGATCCACTGGTTTCAGTATTCCCTGACAAGGGTTCAAAGGCACAGGGAGACATGGCCAGGCCTCACCCAGGGGCATGGGATCAGGTTGGGTGGGAAGACAGGAGCACGTGGACTCACTACTGGACTCGCTTGTTTTCCTTTTCCCCATTGTTCGAGACTTCAGGCTACTTCGGGACTGCTTATTCCCCTGGGCCCTGGAGGAAGTTTCTGGCAGGTCCCATAAATTCTCTAGTTGTTCTAATGGCGCCTCTGGGTGGCTCAGTTGTTTGGGCACCCGACTCTTGATTTTGGCTCAGGTCATGATTTTAGGGTCTTGGGATTGAGCCCTGTGTCAGGCTGTGCACTCAGCTGGGCACCTGTTTCTCTTCCTCTACCCCTCCCACTCTCCCTGCTCGTTCTCTGTCTCTCAAATAAATAAATCCTAAAAAGAATTCTCTGGTTTTTCTGAGATAAATCTTCTAGGAATGGTTAGTCTCAAGAGTGGCCTCACTATAATCTGAATTGTCCAGTCATGGGGGAGCCCTGGGCAGCTCAGTGGTTTAGTGCCTGCCTTCGGCCCAGGGGCGTGATCCTGGAGTCCCGGGATTGAGTCCCACATCGGGCTCCCTGCATGGAACCTGCTTCTCCCTCTGCCTGTGTCTCTGTCTCTCTCTGTCTCTCATGAAAAAATAAATATTTTTTTAAAAATGAATTGTCCCATGTAGTAGTGTGAAGTCTGAAGTTCATCAAAAGTTGTTGAGCTCTTCAGAGAAAGGTCTTTGCCTTTCTGCATTTTCCCTGTGTTTTGTTTTCTGTTTTGTTCACTTCTCTTTTACCTTTATTTCCTTTTTTCTACTTACTTTGGGTTTACTCTGCTGTTCTTTATTTAGTCCCCCCCCAACATTTTATTATAAAAATTTTCATGGCAAACAAGTGAAAGAATTATAGTTGAACACCCATAGAATTCCCCCTAGATGCTACAATGTACATTTTGCTGTATTTGCTTTTTCTTCTGTTTGTCTGTGTACTACTAATTCCTCTGTCCTTCCATCACTCCCTTTTCTTTTTGTGATGAGTTTCATTGTAAGTTTCGGAGATCAGTACACTTCACCCCGAAATACTTCCACAGGCCTATCATTAACTAGAGGTCACTACTTGTTAATATTGTTTGTCCTTAATGCTTAATAGGTATTTTAATTAAAGGAAATTAATAAGTAGAATCATATGGTATTTGGTTGTATGTGATAATGTTTTAACATAATCCCTATGTGTATTTCTCACATATTTTCGTTTTATATTTATGGTGATGTGACTCTTGTTTTTTTAAGTGAGCTTTATTGAGGTATAATTTATATGATTTGAAGTTCACCATTGTTAGGTATACAGTTTTGTATTTGAGAAATGTTAGTCTTATAATACCACCAGGTTCAATATATTGGACCTTTGCATTCCCCTAAGGGATCTCTTTGCCCTGTTGTAATTCAACTTCTTTCTCTCATATCTAGGATTTGGATTCTTGTCATTTCTATTCTTCTAGTTTTATCCTTTCTGGAATACCTTATAAGTGCCTCTTACAGTAAATAACCTTATGTGTGTTGCTTTTTTCACTTACCTTAATGACTTTTAAGTTCATCCATGTTTGATGTATTATCAGCATTTTGTCCTTTTCAAAGGTGAACAATGTTATATCTGTATGTTTTATTAAGCAGTTTACACACTTTAGAATTTTTAAAATTTTTGGTTACTAAAGGAAACCTGTATGAACATTCATGTTCAGGTGTTTGGACACATTTTCATCTTCTTGGGTAAATATCTTGACTGGGATTGTTTGGTCATATGGTAAATGTATGTTTAACTTCACATCATCACACCGGTTCCCTGCAGGGCTGACCATTTTTGTCGAACAACAACAACATGGGAGTTCTAGGTGTTGTACATCCTTGCTAGCTCTTGGTATTACGAACATGGTTAGTCTTTCTAGTAGCTGTGTTGGAGCATCTCATTTTGATTTTAATTTGCATTTCTCCAATAACAAATGTTTAGCATCTTTTCATGTGCCTTTTTGCCATCTGCACATCTTGGGTGAACTTTTTGCCGTAATGTTTTGCCATTTTTGTTGCTATGCAATGTTTAAGAGTTCTTCATATATTCTGGATGCAAGTCTTTTATCAGCTCCGTGTTTTCCACATATTTACTCCCAAGCTGTGGTTTGTTTTTAATAATGTCTTTCAAAAAAAGACATTCTTTTGATAATGCCCTATTTATCAAGCTTTTCTTTTATGATTCATGGCTTTTGTGCCCTATTAAACAATTCTCTATCTAATCGATGGTAACAGACAGCTTCTCATATGATTTCATTCAGAAGATTTACAATTTTAGCTCTTATATTTAGGCCAATGGACATAATGAGAGAAGTATTTCTTACCAGGTGTGAGGTAAGGATCAGTGTTCTTTTTTTTTAAGATTACTTATCCATTTGACACACACAGAGAGAGAGAGAGCATGTGCATGCGTGTGTGCCCACAAGCAGTGGGAATGGCAGGGAGAGAGAGAAGCCGGCTCCCCACCAAGCAGCCTGATGCAGGGCTTGATCCCAGGACACTGTGATCATGACCTGAGTCAAAGGCAAGATGCTTAATGGACTCAGCCACCCAGGTGCCCCTCAATGTTCTTTTGTGTGTGTATGTGCATATTCAGTTATTCCAGCAGCATTTTTGAAAAGACTGTATTTCCTCTATCAGTTTACCTGGGCCCCTTGTTGAAAACAGTTGAGCGATAGGTCTACATGCCTATACCACACTTCTTAATTACTAGAGCCTTACATTAAATGTTCAGATGAAATGGTATGAATCTTCTAACTTTGTTCTTCCTTTTCATAATGTTTTGGCTATTCTGGGTCTTTGATATCTTCATGTAAATTTTAGCATCAGCTTGTCAGTTTCTACATAATAGCCTGTGGGGATTTTCTTTGGGATTGCACTGAATCTGTGGATCATTGAAATACTAACAATATTGAATCTTCCAATTCATGAACATGATATCTCTCTCAATTTATATTGGGCTTTTAAAATCTCTCTCAGAAATATTGTAGTTTTGAATGCATGAGAATCTTGCATAGGAAATGCAGTTGCAATTTATTTATTTTTTTTTTTTTTATTTACGATAGTCATACAGAGAGAGAGAGAGAGGCAGAGACACAGGCAGAGGGAGAAGCAGGCTCCATGCACCGGGAGCCTGACGTGGGACTCGATCCCGGGTCTCCAGGATCGCGCCCTGGGCCAAAGGCAGGCGCCAAACTGCTGCGCCACCCAGGGATCCCCTGCAGTTGCAATTTAAATATTCTATTTTCAACATACTTTTAAAAATATTTTATTTGTTAGAGAGAGAGAGCGCAAGAGAGAAAGAGTGGGGGAGTGGCAGACAGAAGGAAAGGGAGAAGCACTCCCTGCCCAGCAGGGAGCCCAATAGTCCAGGATTGTGACCTGAGCCCAAGTCAGACCTGAGCCAAAGTCAGCTGCTTAACCAACTGAGCCACCCCTCAACATATTTATTTTTATTTTAATTTTTTTAACATATTTATTTTTTGACAATATCTCCTTAATCTATTTTTTTTAGTTTAATAGTTGCTCTAGGGATTAAGATCTGGTGTGTAAGTTAACCTTTTACATTTTACTTAGACTTGCATTTTATTTTTTGTTTTAATAATTTTTAATTTTGATATAGTTTCAAATTTATAGAAAATTTCAAGATTAATACCAGAAGCTTCTATAGACTCTGCCCAGATTCACCAGTTGGTTGCATTTCACCCCGTTTGGTTTGTCATGTTCTGTGTCTACATCTATTTATTATCTATATGCATATACTTATATTTAAATCCATTTTTCTGAACCATTTAAGACTGGAGGTGCAATGTTCCTTCACCCATTAACACATCACCATATATTTTCTAAAAACCAGGATTCTCTTGTATAACCCACTGCTGTTATCACAATTGGGAACTTTCACGTTGATATGGTTCTCATATCTAATACACTGTGTTCAAATGTCACCAGCTGTTCCAGGGATGTCCCACTGGGGGGGCCTTTGCAACACAGGTTGCCATGGCAATAGTTCCTTTTTTTTGTAATAGAACTACAAATTTATTTATTTTTTTAATAAATTTATTTTTTATTGGTGTTCAATCTGCCAACATATAGAATAACACCCAGTGCTCATCCCAAGTGCCCCCCTCAGTGCCCGTCACCCATTCACCCCCACCCCCCCGCCCTCCTCCCCTTCCACCACCCCTAGTTCGTTTCCCAGAGTTAGGAGTCTTTATGTTCTGTCTCCCTTTCTGATATTTCCTACCCATTTCTTCTCCCTTCCCTTCTATTCCCTTTCACTATTATTTATATTCCCCAAATGAATGAGAACATATAATGTTTGTCCTTCTCCGATTGACTCATTTCACTCAGCATAATACCCTCCAGTTCCATCCACGTTGAAGCAAATGGTGGGTATTTGTCGTTTCTAATGGCTGAGTAAAATTCCATTGTATACCTAAACCACATCTTTATTCATTCATCTTTCGATGGACACTGAGGCTCCTTCCACAGTTTGGCTATTGTGGACATTGCTGCTATAAACATCGGGGTGCAGGTGTCCTGGCGTTTCATTGGGTAAATCCCCAACAGTGCAATTGCTGGACAGTCCAGTCAGCATGCAACAGCTCAGAGGAGCCTGCCTGGGTTATACCTCCTGGGGAGCTGCCCTGGGGGAGAAGGGCCTAGGCAGGGCAGGAGGGTTGCCCCCATCATGCTTGGAGATGGTCCTTGCCTCAGGTTCAGAGGAGCCTTAGGGAACCACACAGAGTGAAGTTCCTCCTGGCTACTTAGACTTATATTTTAACATTTGAAACAGTATGTAGAAACTTTAATACAGGTCTCTTTACCTTATCTCCTTTATGTTATAGTTTTCAAATGCATTATATCTATATACATTTTAACCCCCTAGACAATGTTACAATTGTTGCTTTCAACTATCATATATACCAAAGAATACAGAAGGAAAAAATAATCTGTTATACTTGCCAAGATATTTTACCATTTCTGCTGCTTGTTATTTATTCCTGAAGTTCTGTGCTTCCCTCTGATATTATTTCCCTTCACTCTGAAGATCCTGTATCATTTCTCTTAGAACAAATCTACTGGTGGCAATGTCTTTTGTTTTCCTTGTATGAATGTTTAAATTTCATCTTCATTGTTGAAGGATATTTTTGCTGAATATAGAATTCTGGGTTGACATTTCTTTACCTTTAGTATTTTTAAGGTGTTCTAATATTGAGGTGCCTGGGTGGCTCAGTCAGTTAAGTATCCAACTCTTGATTTTGACTCAAGTCGTGATTTCGGAGTTGTGAGATAGAGCCCTATATGGGGCTCCCCTCTGGGCATGGATCCTGCTTAAGATTCTCCCTCTCCAGGATCCCTGGGTGGCGCAGCTGTTTAGCGCCTGCCTTTGGCCCAGGGCGCGATCCTGGAGACCCGGGATCGAATCCCACATCAGGCTCCCGGTGCATGGAGCCTGCTTCTCCCTCTGCCTATGTCTCTGCCTCTCTCTCTCTCTCTCTGTGTGTGACTATCATAAATAAATAAAAATTTAAAAAAAAGGAAAAAAAAAAGATTCTCCCTCTCCTTCTCCCACTGCCCTTCCCCCCTTCCTCTAAAAAAAATTCTGAAAGCAAAAAGAAAGGCCATTATCTTCTCGCCTGTGTTGTTTCTGATGAGAATTTCACAGACATTTGAATCATTGTTTCCTCATAGGCAGTGTGCTTTTGTTCAAGATTTTTTTTCAACTTTGCTTTCCAGCAATTTGATTGTAATAATTCTGGGGGTTTCTTTGAGTTTGTTGTTTCTGGTGTGCTAAGTTTCTTAAGTGTGCAAATTTATGTCTTTCTCTAAATTTGGAAATTAAAAAATATTTTAATTAATATTTAAGTATTTAAAGATTTGAGAGAGAGAGCTAGAGAGAGAGCATGAGTATGGGGAGGAGCAGAGTCAGAGGGAGAAGCAGACTCCGTTGCTGAGCAGGTAGCTCAATGTGGGACTTGATCCTAGGACTCTGGGATCATGACCTGAGCAGAAGGCCAATGTTTAACAGAGCCACCCAGGTGCCCCCATATTGGGACATTTTTTGGCCATTATTTCCTCAGATCTTTTTTTTTTTTCTGCAGTGGTCTCTTTTCCTTTGAGGGTTCTAATGACATGAATGTTGGGCCTTTTCATATTGTCTCACAGGTATCTGATACTGTTTTTCCTTTCTTTTATTTTTCCCAGTCGTTTTTCTCTATTCTGCAGATTGGCAGGTCAGATCATCTTTGTCAGTTTAACTCCAAGTTCATTGACTCTTGCCTCTGTCATTGCCATTCTAAGTCCCTCCCATGAGTTGTTTTTTAAATTTCAGATAATTGTTTTTTAGTTCTAAATTTCTATTTCTTTTTTACAGTTTCTATCCCTCTTGAGAACTTATATTTTTCCATTTATTTCAGATATATTTACCTTTATCTCATAGAGCTTAGTTTTAGTAGTTGCTTAAATGTCTGAGAATTCTAGTACCTGAGTGATCTCAGGACTGGCATCAGTTGATTGTCTTTTCCCTTACGAATTGGTCACCTTTTGCTGGTTGTTTGTTATATTGAATAATTTTGGATTCTATCCTAGCTATTGGAGATTGTTTTGTTGTTTTTAATCTTTTTTTTAATCACATAATAGGCCTGGTTAGATTCAGGCCACCTATTTTGTCTTACCTTCTATGGGCATTGATTTCATCTAGTTCAGATTTGAGGCGTTGCCATGCTTCTTTGAATATTTCCTGTGTATGCACCATTCAGGGGCTAGTTTGAGACTTGAGTGGTGATTTAAGTCTTTGTGCAATTATCAAAGACTTTGCTGTCCTGCTTTGGGTCTGTCTCATGCATTTGTTACTCTGACTTGAGCTGTGATTTAGATCTTAGTTTAGTTCACTTCTTAAAGCTTTGGTGTGAGGCTTTTCTTGCCTTTGCATGCATAGCCCTTGGACGAGCTCAGGACTTGTGGAGGTTCCTGTGCCATGGGGACAAAGTTTTGCAATAGGATAAGGGAGAACAAAAGGGAGACTTACTCTATGAGCTGCTTCTCTACCTTTTAACTCTCCTTCAGAGCCTGTATGCTTTTATTTATTTCTCAGAACCTTCAAGTAGTTGCTTTACATATTTTTTCCAGAGCTTTTTCCTTGCAAGAATCAGTAAGAGAGGCTGTTGTAGATCTCCATTGTGGCTGGTAATGGAAACCTTGATTTTATTCATTCTCACTTTTTTCTTTGTAATTTCTGTCCTGCTAGTTTGAATTGAATTTTTTCCTTTTCTGGTTTCATAAAGTAAAAGCTTAGATCATTACTTTGACAGCTTTTCTAATGTAGACATTGGGAGAGCTATAACTGTCTCTGAGTACTGATTTAGCTGTTTTCACCCCCTTTGTTGTGGTGTAATTGACATATAAGAAATTGCACATCCTTATGTGCACGATCTGGTAAGTTTTGACATGCACATCCATGAATCTATCACCACAATCAAGATAACAAAGTCATAGAATATGTTGGGAAGGATTTCCTCCCCCTTCAGTTCTATGGAAGAATTTGTATAGACATTGGTATTACTTTTTCCTTAAGTGTTTAGTAGAATTCTCCAGTGAAGTTGCCTGGGCCTGGAGTTTTCTTTATGGAAGGTCTTTATACTACAGTTTCAATATCTTTAATAGATATTGGTTTATTCATATTATTTATTCTTTTTTTAAAGATTTTATATATTTATTCATGAGAGACACACAGAGAGAGAGGCACAGACACAGGCAGAGGGAGAAGCAGGACCCATGCAGGGAGCCTGACGTGGGACTCGATCCCGGGTCTCCAGGATCACACCCTGGGCTGAAGGCGGCACTAAACCGCTGAGCCACCCAGGCTGCCCCATATTATTTATTCTTTTTTTTTTAAAGATGTATTTATTTATTTATGATAGACACACACACAGACAGAGAGAGGCGCAGAGATACAGGCAGAGGGAGAAGCAGGCTCCACGCCGGGAGCCCGACGCGGGACTCGATCCCGGGACTCCAGGATCGTGCCCTGGGCCAAAGGCAGGCGCCAAACCGCTGAGCCACCCAGGGATCCCCCATATTATTTATTCTTGAATGAGCTTTGGTAATTTGTGTCTTTCAAGGAGTTCATCTGTTTTATCTAGGTTGTCAAACTTACTGGCATAAAGGTGTTCTTAATATTCTTTCATTATCTTTTTAATTTCTGAGGGTCACTGGGTAGCCTCACTCTAATTGTATTTTTTTTAAGATTTTATTTATTTATTCATGAGACACACACAGAGAGAGGCAGAGACAGACAGAGGGAGAAGCAGGCTCCCTGCAGGGAACCTGATGTGGGAGTCAATCCCAGGACCCCAGGATCACACCCTGAGCTGAAGGCAGATGCTCAACCACTAAGCCACCCAGGCGTCCCACCTCACTTTAGTTTTAAAAGTTCAGTCACGTGTAGTAGTGAAAACTATGAACTTCACTGAAAGGGAAATCTCTTCTCCAATGAATGCCTGCTTCACTGCTTCAGGCTGGGCATTTTTAGTAGCAAAAGAAGCATGTTCCACTTTTTCTTTCTTTACTCTCCTCATCAGCACTTCCTTCTTCCCCTTATCCCCTACTTGACAACTAGGCCATCTCTTGCTCCCGGGCTAAAGCAAGTGAGGAAGGAAAAAAATACAAAGGATAAAAATAGTTTGTCCGAACTGATCAAGATGTAATCTGATACTGGTACCCTTGGCACATGGCAGATTCTGAAGATTGATGCTTCTTCCTATCCTTGGCACTTTGATGGTTTCCCTGGAGATGCCTTGGCTAGGGCTGTGATCGCAGTTTTCTCATCATAGGCGGTGCTTCTATTCCAACAAGGCATTTGGCATATCTCCTTCCCGTTTAGCAAATCTCCAGCTCCATGGCACACCCTCAGTCTCTCTTTGCTGAGGTCATCTGGATGCTGGCAGGAAGCCCTCTTTCCAAAGTAGCACAGTCCTGTTCACATCCAGAGGGGCCACATCTGGCTGAGGAGGAGAGAGAGAGAGAGAGAGAGAGAGATGTGTGTGTTTGTATGTGTGTCCCTGTGTCCATGTCCATGCACCTTGACCTCTACACCCCCTATGCAACCTCTTTACTACCACAGACTGCCTCCACCCACCTGGCACCTATAGTTTTTCTAGGTGCAAATTAGGTGCCAAGCTCTAATGTGTTTACCCAAACTCTAGCAGACATGTATCAAGCAAGTTGTCTCCTTGAAGTCCTTACTAGGTTAGGGGTCAGGTGGACATACTCCACCCACTCATGTTGTTGAAGAGAGAAAATGCTGCCACTTTCCTGCAGCCCTCCCAGAAGCAGTCTTCGTCTTCGGCTTCTTCAACCTTAACCTCTGACTTTTCAGGTATATGTTAGTGCTGAGGGACATTGAGTGGTTATAACCTGCTCCTTTTAAGTCCTGCAAGGGTCTCTGGACTGGAGAAGCACTTGGTAGGATTTTATTATCAGGCTTTGAAACAGAAAGAGTGTACTTTTTTTTCTTTTTTGGTCTTGTGATGAGAACTTTTAAGATTTACTCTCTTAGCTGCTTTCTAATATATATTACTATTATTATTATTATTATTATTATTATTATTATTATTATTTTAAAGATTTTATTTATTCATGAGAGACATAGAGAGAGAGGCAGAGACATAGGCAGAGGGAGAAGCAGGCTCCCTGCAGGGAGTCCAATGTGGGACACGATCCCCAGAATCCTGGAATCAGGACCTGAGCCAAAGACAGGTGCTCAACCACTGAGCCACCCAGCTTCCCCTATAATACAGTATTATTATTAAGTATAGTCACCTTGCTTTATGTGGATTTTTTAATGGTAAAATAGATATTTTATTTTAATGAAATATGAAATAATTATGGCATTTGTGTTACAAACAACATGTTTCTCAAATATAAAGATGTAAAGGGAGAAACAAAGCCACAAGTGGTCCAAGCTTACCATACCACTCTCAGAAATGATTATGCATAGCCTAACATTATACAGTATTACAGTATAATATTATAATACAGCTAGGTTTCAGAAATATTTACATCTGACAAAAAATAGAATTTACTTTCTTTTTAAAGTCTTATGGAACAATTACAAAAATCTCTTTGGCTACAAAGAAAATATCTAAAATTTCTCCTAAGTAGAGTTTCAATGCTTTACATTTTCTGGGCATAATATAACTCTAGTTTAATGGGAAAAAGAGAGAGTAGTAAAATAAACCTACCTAATTTGCAATAAACATTCTTCCTGGGCAGCCTGGGTGGCTCAGCGGTTTAGCGCTGCCTTCAACCCAGGGCATGATCCTGGAGACCCGGGATTGAGTTCCACATCGGGCTCCCTGTGTGGAGCCTGCTTCTCCCTCTGCCTGTGTCTCTGCCTCTCTCTCAATCTCTGTCTCTCGTGAATAAATAAAATCTTTAAAAAATACTCTTCCTTTTTAAATTTAAATTCAGTTAGCCAACATATAGTACATCATTAGTTTCAGATGTAGTGTTCAGTGATTCATCAATTGCATATAACACCCAGTGCTCATTGCATCATGTGCCCTCCTTAATGCCTATCACTCAGTGACCCCATCCCCCTACCCACCTCCCCTTCAGCTTTACATGAGTTTTAATAATCATGTTAAACCAATTCCCCAAGAATATGGGTTGCAACTGGGTGGGCAGATAGAGCTTCCTGAAATACACACACACACACACACACACACACACACACACACACACACAATGGAATATCACCCAGCCATCAAAAAGAATGAAATCTCGCCATTTGGAACAGCATGGATGGAACTAGAGGGTATTATGCTATGTGAAACGAGTCAGAGAAAGACAAATACCATACAATCTTACTCGTATGTGGAATTTAAGAAACAAAACAGATGAACGTAGGAGAAGGGAAAGAAGAGAGGGAGGCAAACCATAAGAGACTCTGTACTAGAGAACAAACTGAAGGCTGTTGGAGGGGAGGGGGGCGGATATGCTAAACAGCGATGGGGATTAAGGAGGGCACTTCTGATGAGCACACTGGGTGCATATGTAAATGATGGATCACTAAATTCTACTCCTGAAATCAATACTATACTACATGTTTACTAAGTAGAACTTAAATCAAAACTTTAAAAAAAATGGATGCCTGGATGGCTCAGTTGGTTAAATATCTTCCTTTGGCTCTAGTCATGATCCCAGGGTCCTGGGTTCAGGCTCCACATCAGGCTCCCTGCTTAACAGGGAGCCTGCTTCTCCCTCTCCCTCTGTTTGTGTGCTCTCTCTCTCTCTCTTTTATTTGAAAGAGAGAGAGCTCAAATAAATAAATAAAACCTTAAAAAAACAATAGAGGTGGATGCTATGAAAGCATAGAGGAGAGGAAGTAATAACCTTGCCCAAATCTTTTCACAAACTCCCCCGCTGAAAAACAGTATGTGTCTCTCATTTTGTTCTAATTGTCTTTGGAAAACAAAGCTGATTTTTAGAAATACAATTTAATATGGTTCCCCTTTAACGGGGTTAATATATATTTATTGTGTATTACTATGTTAGTATTTCTTCTTTCTTGTATTTTCTATATATCCTGCTTCTTCTTTACCTCTTTTTTTTAAAAGACTTTATTTTAGAGAGCAAGAGAGTGAGTGGAGAGGTAAGGGCAGAGGGAAAGGGAGAGAATCCCAAGCAGACTCTGTGCTGAGCATGGAACCCAATGTGTGGAGCTCAACACAACCTGAGCCAAAATCAAGAGTTGGATGCCCAACCAACTGAGCCACCTAGGTGCCCCTCTTTACTTCTTTTCTCTTGCCTTTACTGCATTTTTTTTACCCCCACCTCCATTTTTTTCCCTTTGGTTATTTTCCTCCTGAAAAATTCAAGTACCAAGCATTATTCTCAGCCAGACATTGTATGTGGCCAATTCCCTGCCTTTTCTTGTCCACAAACATCTTTATTTTTGTCATCTTTTCCTTGTGATCATCTATCTGGGGATAGAATTCTAAGATGACACCAAGCTTCTCTCCGTACTTTTAAGTACATTGTTTAATCTTTTAGTTTCTTTTATTGCCGATGAAGTCTGATGTTGAGCTCATTGTTTCTTTACAGCAATTCTAAAAATTTCTCCGTGGCAGCTTCCCATATGTACTTTCTGAATTGAAAGTCCTGTGGTTCCACTAAACTGTGTCCAGGTTCAGTTTTGCTCTTATTTACCACACTCAGGACTCTGGACATTCAGTGGTAGGATGTGTACCTTTCTTCCATCCAGAAAACTATCAGTCATTGTCTCTTCAAATATTGCCTAGCTCAGAGGTTACCAAGACCACTACCATATTTAGAGATTTTTGAGGACTTGTGGGACTGGGCAGATAGTTGCATCTATAGCTACAATTTCTTAGAGCAATGTACTAAGGAGATTCCACTAGATCCAAAGGGAAAAGACACTAGCAGAGGCTGGATGAATCCACAAATAGGATTCCTTATGCTTGCTCTCTCCCTCCCAGGAGATCTAGGGTCATCCAGGGCACTCTTCTCCCAGCAGAGAAGCTGCAACAACATATGTGCCCAGGGAAGCCCATTAGAAACTCCACATGGCCAGTTGCTCTGCCTAGCATGTATACCCAAATTTCAGACTCACAGAAGGAAAGGAGATGTGCAGCATAAATCACATTGTTTGTATTTTTTTTTAATCACATTGTTTGTATAAGCAGCCTCATCAGTTAGGGAATGGTAGAGACGTTCTTGATCTCCCAAGTTCCCAGATGTCAGCCAGGGCCCAGCCTTGCAAGCTAGCCTTTCTCAGTATGGCAGTCTCAGGACTGTCCTGTTAACCCTTTTCTTGGCATGTTGCCCCGTCCCTTTTTCTCCAACCTTTCTGTTTGGATTTTCTATTAATCCCATGTTGGAACTTAACATTTTTCTATTTGTCTTGCCATATTCCCATTTTGTTAGCTCTTTATGCCACATTTTGGGTGATTTCCTAAGATCTCTCATCCAATTCATTAAATCTGTCTTTATCTGTGACTAATCTACTGTTCAACCTCTCTATTTAGAGTTTTAATAATGCCTATATTTTCTTTTATGCTTATTTTCTCGTGTTCTCCCTCTTATCCCATAATATAGCTCTTTAACCCTGTTTCATTGAATATTTGAAATATACTTTTTAAAAAAGATTTTATTTATTTATTCATGAGAGACAAAGGGAGAGAGAGGCAGAGACACAGGCAGAGGGAGAAGCAGGCTCCATGCAGGGAGCCCAACATGGGACTCGATCCTGGGTCTCTAGGATCACGGCCCGGGCCAAAGGCAGCACTAAACTGCTGGGCCACCAGGGTTGCCCGAAATATACTTATTTTAAAGTCCAGATTATTCTGTTAGCTACAGTTCTAGGAATGGGAGTATCTTTAGTGTATCTGCTGATTATCTCTGAAGATGCTTCATTTCCTTGTGAGGTTTATTTTACTGTGAACTCTTCGGTGAGAATTGATTTTCCTTAGAAGTGATGTGAGTCCTAAACTATAAAAAGATAATGTATTTTTTAGAGTTTGCCACTGCTAGGAACCTACTAATAATAGGACCAATTTTCACGTTAATTATTCAGCTTGTGGGCTCTGTACTAAAATTATAATCACTTCACATTGAGTTACACAAATGACTTTTGATTTCTTATATATAGTATCTTTATTTCCACTTTCCTTGACCAGTGGGGAGTCTTTCTAGCTCCCCGCTAACAATCATGGATGTTCCTTGTGATTCCAGCTTTAAGCGAGAACTACATATCAGTTTCCTGAACATTTTGGCCCTAGGTCTGGATTTCACTGCAGATCCTCAGCCTTCAGTTTCTGTTCATCCCATCACTTTAAATTTCTACTTCACTTTTGACACCTAATACATTTCTTGTTTTTTTAAATACTTTATTTATTCACAAGAGACACACAGAGAAAGAGAGAGAGAGAGAGAGAGGCAGAGACACAGGCAGAGGGAGAAGAGGCTCCATTCAGGGAGCCTGATGTGGGACTCGATCCTGGGTCCCTAGGATCATGCCCTGGGCTGAAGGCAGCACTAAACAGCTGAGCCACCCAGGGTGCCCCATTTCTTGGTTTTGAGCTTGACTATGTAGTAAAATATTTTTGTTAAATATGGCCCACACTTTGTGTTTGCAGTCAGAGGAGGTGGTGCTAGTGGGAGATAGAGAAAGCCCATCCACATCAGCTCAAGTCCTTGATAGTTCACAGCAAGACATTTATAAACTAATTTTATTCCATAACATTATAGTAGGAATGTTTGCAAGTTTGATGAGTGTCTTGCATTTTTTTTTAGAATTCTGGCAAGTTGATGACCAGATAGACAACCACAAGGAGAGCCAAGACAGACTTCTGTGGCAAACTGCATTAGTAGACAAGGAAGCACAGAAAGATCAAAGTGGCCAAGAATTCACAACCTTCAGAAAAATCATTTATCCAAACACAGACTTTGTTTCGGTAAGACAGAGACTCCCCAAATATTATTCGTGGGGAAGGTGTTCAAAACATAATTTAAACTTTCTTTGTCAAAATAGAAGCTCTATGAGACAAAAAGATGATGAATATAAGGTACATTGGAAATCATGCTTCCATTCTAATCTTGATAAAGCTCAATCATTTGCAGAGACATTTTTTGAGCCTAATGAACATGGAAAAACCCTCCACCATAAGCAAGCACTTAATAAAACTCAAAGAATTCAAACTAGGGAGAAACTCTATGAGTGTTCTCAATGTGGGAAAGTGTTTATGCAGAAAGCAAACCTCGTGGTACATCAGAGAACTCATACAGGAGAGAAGCCTTATGAATGCTGTGAATGTACAAAAGCCTTCAGCCAGAAATCAACCCTCATTGCACACCAGAGAACTCACACAGGGGAGAAGCCCTACAAATGCAGTGAATGTGGGAAAACATTTATACAGAAGTCAACTCTGGTTAAACATAAGCGAACTCACACAGCAGAGAAACCATTTGTATGTGGTGAATGTGCAAAAGCCTTTAAGAGTTCTTATCACCTTATTAGACATGAGAAAACACACATTAGACAAGCATTTTATGAAGGAGTCCACTGTGGTAAGTCCAGCCTTATTCATCAAAGGACACTTAAGGGTGAGAAAACTGAGTGTAATAAACGTGGGAAACCCTTCAATGAGAAACACAACCCCATTAAACACCACACATTTCATACAAAAGAGAAACCTTATGAGTGCAGTAAATGTGGAAAAAGCTTCAGGGGAAAATCACACCTCTCTGTTCATCAGAGAATTCATACAGGAGAGAAACCTTATGAGTGCCGCATATGTGGGAAGACTTTTAGTGGGAAATCACACCTCTCTGTCCATCATAGAACTCATACAGGAGAGAAGCCTTATGAATGCAGAAGATGTGGGAAAGCATTTGGTGAAAAGTCAACCCTTATTGTACACCACAGAACTCACACAGGAGAGAAACCCTATAAATGCAATGAATGTGGGAAAGCCTTCAGCGAGAAGTCACCACTGATAAAACATGAGAGAATTCATACAGGAGAGAGACCCTACAAATGCAGTAACTGTGAGAAAGCATTCAGTAGGAAGTCAACTCTAATTAAACATCAGAGAATCCACACAGGAGAAAAACCCTACGAATGCAGTGAATGTGGGAAAGCCTTCAGTGTGAAATCAACTCTCATTGTACATCACAGGACTCATACAGGAGAGAAACCCTATGAATGCAGGGATTGTGGAAAAGCCTTCAGTGGGAAGTCAACTCTCATGAAACATCAGAGAAGTCATACAGGAGATAAAACCTATAAAGATACTTGAGAATGAGATAATTTATTAGTCATGCCTCTTTAGGTATCCATTCATCCTGGGGAGTAACCTTATAAACATCAAGAATGTCAGAAGCTCTTAATATGTTATTTAATCTTCCTTTAGTACAATAAAAGGTATAAAAGCTTAATTCCAGAAGCATGTAATAAATCTGATTTTTTTTACCCAGAATTCTTACCCATGAGTGGAAAATTGCACATCAAAGAATTCAGAAGTGGCAAAATTACAAGTGTCTGGATGTGAGATGACCTTGAGAAAGAATTTAAGGGTCATTGCCTGTCAAGAGTATTTAATAAGTTTAGAAAACCATGTTAGCAAGTATGAGAGAAACATGTTCCATATTTTTAAAAAGATTTTATTTTTTTGAGAGAGTGTGCAATAGTAAAGGGCAGAAGGAGAAGCAGACTCCCACTGAGTGTGGAGCCAGATGCAGGGCCCAATCCCAGGACCCCGAGATCATGCCCGGAGCTGAAACCAAGAGTCAGTCACCCAATCAACTGAGCTACCCAGGCACCCCCATGTTTCATATTCTATACCAAACATTTTGTGGGAAAGGTGCAGAGGTTGCAAACAAGCACTTAAATATAAAAAACAAGGTTTACTGTGGAGTAGAGTGCATATTTGAAAGAACAGTATAGAACATAAACCATTAATCCTAGTTGGGGTAGACTCCCCCTGTTGTTTCTTAAACAAATAGAAAAATTGCTCCCTTAAAAAGCATGAGAGAGGGATCCCTGGGTGGTGCAGCGGTTTAGCGCCTGCCTTTGGCCCAGGGCGTGATCCTGGAGACCCAGGATCGAATCCCATGTTGGGCTCCTGGTGCATGGAGCCTGCTTCTCCCTCTGCCTATGTCTCTGCCTCTCTCTCTCTGTGTGACTATCATAAATAAATAAAAATTTTAAAAAAAGCATGAGAGAGGTTGAGTCATCAGGATCCCGAAACAAAGGGGCTAGAAGAGATCTTACATGTTTTTCATCATCTTAAGTACAAAAACGCAAATCTCACACAAAAGGCACACCTCACTTAGAAACAGTGCTAAAAATTTAATATTCTTTGTCTTTTAAGAAACAGTTCATGGTGAGGCAATAAGAGAGCTTTAATTTTCAGAGTATCTCCTGTAACGGCAATATTTAAATTCCAAAACAAATGAATTGAATATCCTGTAATAGGCAATTGATTAAAATTTGATATATCTTTAAGGTGGGATAATACAGACCAATTAAAATTATCTTTATTATGTTTGAGGAAATGTTTATGGCAAACTATTAAGTAAAAAACATTAAAAAACAATATACCATATGATTTACATTATAAAAAAGTACACAGAAGGCTATGCACTATTGTATCAGTGATTCTGGGTGGTAGAAATATGGCAAATTTATGCTGAGTAAAATTATATGCCCATATATATTTGTATTTATATGTTTAGATGTGTTTAGGTAGATACATATATTTGTATTATATTTATATATATTTTAGGTGTGTGTGTAGGTAGGTAGACACGTAGAACAAAAAGCTAGGAAGGAAATATACCAAATTATTAATCAAATTATCATTTGGGTGTTGGGATCATTGATTTTTAAATGTTTTGAGTGTAGTCTCCAGAGACTAACAAATTGTTTAAGGTAATCCTGTGCATATTTAATTCTGTCTTCCCATCCATTTTCCCTTTCAGCTTTGTATTTGATCTTGAGAATATATTTTGCATGTTGAGAATGGGTATCCTGAGATTTTAATATCTGTATGTGATTTTTTTTCTATAAGAATAAAAATATCTCCACAGTTCACCAAATCCTGTGACAGAAGTTGTCAGCTAACAGATTTAACAGATGAGATATAGTGAATGGTCAAAGAAACCACAAGTAATGAGACAAAACTGACTTCGGACACCAAATGTAAAGCTCATTTCACTGTGATATCGGTGAATGCTTTTTGCTCATATTCATTCCTTCTCGTCCTAGTATCAGCAGTTGTATCAGGCACATCCTAGGTGACCCCAGTGAACTGTGCCCTATGTAAATCCTCTTCCCTTGAGTGTGGGCAAAACAGACTTGCAAGGCAGGGAAAGATGGCGGAAGAGTACAGTCCCCAAGTCACCTGTCCCCACCAACTTAACTAGATCACTTTCAAATCATCCTGAAAACCTATGAATTCAGCCTGAGATTTAAAGAGAGAACAGCTGGAATGCTACAGTGAGAAGAGTTCACGCTTCTATCAAGGTAGGAAGACATTAAAAAAAAAATAAAAAAGCATCCACGGGGGGAGAGGTCCCTGCGAGGAGCTGGTCTAAGGCTGCGCGGCGAGTGCCCCCAGGACAGAAAAGCCCAGTCCCCGAGAAGTAGGAGCTTTACTAACCTTCCCGGACGGAAGGGCGCTGGAGGGAGCTCGGGCAGGATCCCAGGAGAGGCGGGGATGCCCTCAGGCTCCCAGGGGCACTAACAGAGGAACTGCACCCCAGGGGAGAGTGCGCCACACACCTGGGCCGAGTTCCCTAAAGGCCTGGAGCAGGCGCCTAGCAGGGCCGGGAGCAGCTCGGGTGGCTCAGGTGGCGGCTCTGCACGGAGGGGGCTGCGCGGCCCCGGGAGTGCAATTGCAGCAGTGCAGGCCCCGGAACCCAGGGGACACAGCCCAGGATCTGGCACTCCCCCCGGGACAGGCAGAGGCCGGGAGGACACAGGACAGCCAGGATGCTCCTGCTGCCAGGCGACCCCAAGCTGTGCAGATTGGTGACCCCCGCCCCTGGAGCATCCAGGCCCCTGCGGACTGGGAGCTGCAGTACTTACTGTGGGAGCTGACTCCAGGGCTGGACAGCTGGCCGCCGCCACTGTTGTTGTTCCTCCTGGTGTCACCTTGTACCTGGGACTGAGCAGGGGCATCACAGGATAAACAGATCCCACTGAGCTGTGCACCTGGCAGGGGGCTGGGCAGCTCCCCCAGATATACACACCTGAATCAACACATCAGGCCCCTCCTCCAGAAGACCAGCTGGAAGAACAGGGGAAAAGCAAGTTATGGACCAAGCAGCGCTGGAAAGTTGCAGAACTCGAGGGATTTACAGTATATAGAATCAGAGGATAGTCCCCCTTGTTTTTTGTTTTCTGTTTGTTTCCCCCCTTTTTTCCCTTTTTCTCCTTTTTCCAGTAAAACTTGTTTTTGGCCACTCTGCACTGAGCAAAATGACTAGAAGGAAAAACTCCCCACAAAAGAAAGAATCAGAGATAGTCCTCTCTCCCACAGAGTTACAGAATTTGGATTACAATTCAATGTCAGAAAGCCAATTCAGAAACACAATTATAAAACTACTGGTGGCTCTAGAAAAAAGCATAAAGGATTCAAGAGACTTCATGACTGCAGAATTTAGATCTAATCAGGCCAAAATTAAAAATCAATTAAATGAGATGCAATCCAAACTGGAGGTCCTAATGACGAGGGTTAACGAGGTAGAAGAACAAGTGAGTGACATAGAAGACAAGTTGATGGCAAGGAAGGAAGCTGAGGAAAAAAGAGAAAAAAGATCATGAGGAAAGGTTAAGGGAAATAAATGACAGCCTCAGAAGGAAAAAACTATGTTTAATTGGGGTTCCAGAGGGCGCCAAAAGGGACAGAGGACCAGAAAGGGTATTTGAACAAATCATAGATGAGAACTTCCCTAACTTGGGAAGGGAAATAGGCTTTCAGATCCAGGAGATAGATTCCCCCCCCCCTTAAAATCAATAAAAACCGTTCACCACCCCAACATTTAATAGTGAAACTTGCAAATTCCAAAGATAAAGAGAAGATCCTTAAAGCAGCAAGAGACAAGAGATCCCTAACCTTTATGGGGAGAAGTATTAGGTTAACAGCAGACCTCTCCAGAGACCTGGCATGCCAGAAAGCACTGGCAGGATTTTTCAGGGTCCTAAATGAGAATAAGATGCAGCCAAGAATACTTGAGCAAGGCTCTCATTCAGAATAGAAGGAGCTTCCAACACAGGCAGAAACTGAAAGAATATGAGACCACCAAACCAGCTCTGCAAGAAATATTAAGAGGGACTCTGTAAAAGAAAGAGGAAGTCCAAGAAAACAATCCACAAAAACAGGGACTGAGTAGGTATCATGATGACACTAACTTCATATATTTCAATAGTAACTCTGAATGTGAATGGGCTTAATGACCACATCAAAAGGCGCAGGGTTTCAGACTGGGTAAAAAAGCAAGACCCATCTATTTGCTGTCTACAAGAGACTCATTTTAGACATAAGGACACCTACAGCCTGAAAATAAAAGGTTGGGGAACCATTTACCATTCAGATGGTCCTCAAAAGAAAGCAGGGGTAGCCATCCTCATATCAGATAAAGTTTATCCCGAAGACTGAAGTAAGAGATGAAGAGGGACACTATATCATACTTAAAGGATCTATCCAACAAGAGGACCTAACAATCATGAATATTTATACCACTAATGTGGGAGCGGCCAAGTATATCAATCAATTAATAACCAAAGTTAAGACATACTTAGATAATAATACACTTATACTGGGAGACTTGAACACGGCACTTTCTGCAATTGATAGATTTTCGAAGCACAGCATCTCCAAAGAAACAAGCTTTAAATGATACACTAGACCACATGGATTTCACAGATATTTACAGAACTTTACATCCAAATGAACTGAATACACATTCTTCTCAAGTGCACATGGAACTTTCTCCAGAATAGACCACATACTGGGTCACAAATCAGGTCTTAACTGATACCAAAAGATTGGGATTGTCCCTTGCATATTTTCAGACCATAATGGCTTTGAAACTAGGACTAAACCACAAAAGGAAGTTGGGAAGTAATTCAAACATGTGGAGGTTAAATACCATCCTGCTAAAAAATGAAAGGGTCAACCAGGAAATCTGAGAAGAATTAAAAAGATTCATGGAAACTAATGAGAATGAAGATACAACCATTCAAAATCTTTGGGATACAGCAAAAGCAGTCTTGAGGGGGAAATACCTCACGATACAAGCATCCATCCAAAAACTGGAAAGAACTCAAATACAAAAGCTAACCTTGTACCTAAAGGAGCTGGAGAAAAAACAGCAAATAGATCCTACACCCAGCAGAAGAAGACAGTTAAAAAAGACTCGAGCGGTACTCAATGAAATAGTGACCAGAAGAACTGTGGAACAGGTCAACAAAACCAGGAGTTGGTTCTTTGAAAGAATTACTAAGATAGATAAACCATTAGCCAGCCTTATTAAAAACAAAAGAGAAAAGACTCAAATTAATAAAATCACCAATACCAAAGAAATACAAACTATTTAAAAACTTATTATGAGCAGCTATATGCCAATAAATTAGGCAATCTAGAAGAAATGGACACATTTCTAGAAAACCACAAACTACCAAGACTGGAACAGGAAGAAATAGAAAACCCAAACAGGCCGATAACCAGGGAGGAAATTGAAGCAGTCATCAAAAACCTCCCAAGACACAAAAGTCCAGGGCCAGATGGCTTCCCAGGGGAATTCTATCAATCGTTTAAAGAAGAAACAATATCTATTCTACTAAAGCTGTTCCGAAAGATAGACAGAGATGGAGTACTTCCAAATTCATTCTATGAGGCCAGCATCACCTTAATTCCAAAACCAGACAAAGACCCCACCAAAAAGGAGAATTATAGACCAATATACCTGATGAACACAGATGCAAATATTCTCAACAAGATACTAGCCAATAGAACCCAACAGTATATTAAGAAGATTATTCACCATGACCAAGTGGAATTTATCCCCGGGATGCAAGGCTGGTTCAACACTTGTAAAGCAATCAACGTGATAGATCATATCAACAAGAGAAAAAACAGGAACCATATGATCCTCTCATTAGATGGAGAGAAAGCATTTGACAAAATACAGCATCCATTCCAGATCAAAACTCTTCAGAGTGTAGGGATAGAGGGAATATTCCTCACATCTTAAAAGCAATCTATGAAAAGCCCACAGCAAATATTATTCTTAATGGGGAAACACTGGGAGCCTTTACCCTAAGATCAGGAACATGACAGGGATGTCCACTCTCACCACTGCTATTCAACATAGTACTAGAAGTCCTAGCCTCAGCAATCAGGCAACAAAAAGAAATAAAAGGCATTCAAATGGGCAAAGAAGAAGTCAAACTCTCCTTCTTCGCAGATGACATGATCCTGTACATAGAAAAGCCAAAAGACTCCACCCCAAGATTGCTAGAACTCATACAGCAATTCGGCAGTGTGGCAGGATACAAAATCAATGCCCAGAAACCAGTGGCATTTCTATACAGTAACAATGAGACTGAAGAAAGAGAAATCAAGGAATCAATCCCATTTATAACTGCACCAAAAAGCATAAGATACCTGGGAATAAACCTAACCAAAAAAGGTAAAGGACCTATACCCTAAAAACTACAGAACACTTCTGAAAGAAATTGAGGAAGACACAAAGAGATGGAAAAATATTCCATGCTCATGGATTGGAAGAATTAATATTGTGAAAATGTCTATGCTACCCAGGGGAATTTACACGTTTAATGCAATCCCTATCAAAATACCATGGACTTTCTTCAGAGAGTTGGAACAAATTATTTTAAGATCTGTGTGGGATCAGAAAAGACCTTGAATAGCCAGGGAATATTAAAAAAGAAAACCATAGCTGGGGGCATCACAATGCCAGATTTCAGGTTGTACTACTACAAAGCTGTGATCATCAAGATCACATCAAGTACCACAGTGTGGTACTGGCACAAAAACAGACACCTAGATCAATGGAATAGAATAGAGCATCCAGAAATGGCCCCTCAACTCTATGGTCAACTAATATTTGACAAAGCAGGAAAGACTATCCCCTGGAAAAAGGACAGTCCCTTCAATAAATGGTGCTGGGAAAATTGGACAGCCACATGCAGAAGAATGAAACCAGACCATTCTCTTACACCAGACACAAAGATAAACTCAAAATGGATGAAAGATCTAAAAGTGAGACAAGAATCCATCAAAATCCTAGAAAAGAACACAGGCAACACCCTTTTTGAACTTGGCCACAGCAACTTCTTGCAAGATACATCCATGAAGGCAAGGGAAACAAGAGCAAAAATGAACTATTGAGACTTCATCAAGATAAAAAGCTTCTGCACAGCAAAAGAAACAGTCAACAAAACTAAAAGACAACCTACAGAATGGGAGAAGATATTTGCAAATGACCTATAAGATAAAGGACTAGTATCCAAGATCTATAAAGAACTTATTAAACTCAACAGCAAAGAAACAAACGATCCAATCATGAAATGGGCAAAAGACATGAACAGAAATCTCACAGAGGAAGACATAGACATGGCCAACAAGCACATTGGAATATGCTCCATATCACTGACCATCACATCAGGGAAATACAAATCAAACTCACAATGAGATACCACCTCCCTCACACCAGTAAGAATGGGGAAAATTAACAAGACAGGAAACCACAAACGATGGAGAGGATGTGGAGAAAGGGGAACCCTCTTGCACTGTTGGTGGGAATGTGAACTGGTACAGCCACTCTGGACAACTGTGTGGAGGTTCCTCAAAGAGTTAAAAATAGATCTGCCCTACGACCCAGCAATTACACTGCTGGGGATTTACCCCAAAGATACAGATGTAATGAAACGCTGGGACACCTGCACCCCGATGTTTCTAGCAGCAATGTCCACAATAGCCAAACTGTGGAAGGAGCCTCGGTGTCCATCAAAAGATGAATGGATAAAGAAGATGTGGTCTATGTATACAATGGAATATTACTCAGCCATTAGGAACGACAAATACCCACCATTTGTTTTGATGTGGATGGAACTGGAGTGTATTATGGAGTGAAATATGTCAATAGGAGAAGGACAAACATTATATGGTCTAATTCATTTGGGGAATATAAAAAATAGTGAAAGGGAATAAAGGGGAAAGGAAAGAAAAATGAGTGAAAATATCAGTGAGGGTGACAAAAT